TAAGAAACTGCAACATCTATATGGTTTGGACCTAGCTGTTTCTCTTCAATTTCCAGTGCTCGTTGGTAATAATCCTTAGCCTGGTCCAGGTCACCTTTATCATAATACACAAGGCCAAGGTTGTTATAAGAAACTGCAACATCAACATGGTTTGGACCTAGCCGTTTCTCTTGAATTTCCAGTGCTCGTTGGTAATAATCCTTAGCCTGGTAGAATTCGCCCATTTTTGCGTATGAATGGCCAAGTGCGTTAAATATGCGAGCCCTGTAATTGTGGTTTTTTGAATCTCTCCAGATCTCAAGATTTGTTTCATGGACCTAGCTGTTTCTCTTCAATTTCCAGTGCTCGTTGGTAATAATCCTTAGCCTGGTCCAGGTCACCTTTTTTATAATACACTCCACCAATGTTATTATAAGAAACTGCAACATCAACATGGTTAGGACCTTGCTGTTCCTCTTCAATTTCCAGTGCTTGTTGGTAATAATCCTTAGCCTGGTCCAGGTCACCTTTTTTATAATACACTCCAGCAATGTTATTATAAGAAATTGCAACATCAACATGGTTTGGACCTAGCTGTTTCTCTTGAATTTCCAGTGCTCGTTGGTAATAATCCTTAGCCTGGTCTAGGTCACCTTTATCATAATACACTAGGCCAAGGTTGTTATAAGAAACTGCAACATCAACATGGTTTGGACCTAGCCGTTTCTCTTTAATTTCAAGTGCTCGTTGGTAATAATCCTTAGCCTGGTCTAGGTCACCTTTTTTCCTGTACACTAGGCCAATGTTATTATAAGAAACTGCAACATCAACATGGTTTGGACCTAGCTGTTTCTCTTGAATTTCCAGTGCTCGTTGGTAATAATCCTTAGCCTGGTCCAGGTCACCTTTTTTACTGTACACTCGGCCAATGTTGTTATAAGAAACAGCAACATCAACATGGTTTGGACCTAGCTGTTTCTCTTCAATTTCCAGTGTTCGCTGGTAATAATCCTTAGCCTCGTCCAGGTCACCTTTATTATAATACACTTCACCAATGTTATTATAAGAAACTGCAACATCAAGATGGTTTGGACCTAGCTGTTTTTCTTCAATTTCCAGTGCTCGTTGTAATAATCCTTAGCCTGGTCCAGGTCACCTTTTTTACTGTACACTAGGCCAATGTTATTATAAGAAAATGCAACATGAACATGGTATAGACCTAGCTGTTTCTCTCGAATTTCCAGTTCTCGTTGGTAATAATCCTTAGCCTGGCCCAGGTCACCTTTATCATAATACACTAGGCCAAGGTTGTTATAAGAAACTGCAACATCAACATGGTTTGGACCTAGCTGTTCCTCTTCAATTTCCAGTGCTTGTTGGTAATAATCCTTAGCCTGGTCCAGGTCACCTTTATCATAATTCACTAGGCCAAGGTTGTTATAAGAAACTGCAACATCAACATGGTTGGGCCTAGCTGTTTCTCTTCAATTTCCAGTGCTCGTTGGTAATAATCCTTAGCCTGGTCGAGGTCACCTTTTCTATAATACACTCCACCAATGTTATTATAAGAAACTGCAACATCAACATGGCTTCTACCTACAATCATGGCCAAATGTTTGTGGAACGCAAGCTAATTAATAGGTAAAGGCGTGCGAGTTTATAATATTGTCACAGACTTCACAAAAAAAGTAACTCCCCCGGCCCCCCTTTCCAATGTTGATCCTAACGTTACTAAACGAGATTGTGTTATGCTTATTCCGAGCAGAAAACAATCCCAATCAACATTGACAGGGGGGAAGAGGGGTTTATTATTCAAATTTAGGTTAAAAACACGAAATCACACTTTACGTTCCACAACATTTGGCCATGATTGTCTGAAAATATGCGATCGTAGCATTAGTTGCGCTATACGAACATTTTTTGTTAAAACTACCAAATGCCGCGAAATAAACATAAAAATCTATAATTTATCAATAAATATTTTATCACTTGTGCGTATTAGATAAGTGTTGTTTCTGAAACTAAACACGGCGCTAGACGGTTATATGTAATGGATAATATTATATAGACCTTATGCATAATGTGTCACAAGGCTTGATGCCTATAAGGAATGGTGGTCTTAATGGTCTTCGCCCGGGAAAAATTGGTTTGTGTCCGTTTTGAATTTTTTAATTTTTTAATTTTCCCTGGCGATAACTACAAAGACCAGCATTCCTCGCGGTCATCAAGCCTTGTGACGTCATTATGCATAAGGCCTACTGCCCATGCCAGACAAGCAAAGTCGCTATGGCATCCATTGCTCAAGTTGAGGCAGAAATGCTTAAAATTCATGCACGTTCGCATGATATAAATCCGATTGAGAATATATTCCATCTTGTGAAATCTCAGTTGAATACTGATAGATAGATAGATAGATAGATAGATAGATAGATAGATAGATAGATAGATAGATAGATAGATAGATAGAAAACTTTATTTAACCCGCTAACCCCGTCAACCGAAGCTGATTTCCACAGGGGGCGTGTATAGAAGAAATTATAGAAGTATAAAATTTAGAATAATTATTTACAAAATATTAGAAATAGTGTTAAATAGGTAAAGTATAGTACCGGTACTTAGTAAGTTAATCTGCGGGAACATCTAGTTACAATTACTATTAATGTGAGTAGCGATTTTATTCCTAAAAGAGGCAAAGGATTTGCTTTCTCTAATTTCCTTCGGAATGGAATTCCAAAGGTAGGCTCCGTCATACATGAAACTCTTTTTCATGCTATTTGTACGCGGTTTAGGTAAGCAAAGACTACTCGATAATATCCCGAAGATTGTAGTTTGTCATCTCACCTTTATATGTGAAAAGATTAGTGAGTGACTCCGGACCCATTTTATTTAATATTTTGTACATTAATTTTGCTTTAGCCGTGCTAATTTTGAGTGGCACCCAGCTCAATGCTTGTAAGACAACAGAATGTTCTGTGTCATTGCTCATATTCATGATAATTCGAGCAGCTCTATTTTGGTGTTTTTGGAGTCGCTTTGATTGTGTTTCCCCAAACACATCCCATACTTCACAACAATAATCGAAGTATGGCCGAACAATTGCATTATATCCAAAAATAAGAGTTTGTCTATCAGTAAACTCTTTTAAACGCCGAAGAGCCGATATTCCTGCTGTTATTTTCTTACAAATATTGTCAGTATTACTTTTCCAAGACAAATGCTGGTCAACTGTCACTCCAAGAGTTTTACATTCGTAAACTTGTTTAATTGGTTTGTTTTCAATTTCAATATTAGGTTTTGAATTTGAAACACTTTTGATCATTGGCTTCGAACCAATTAACATAAATTCGGTCTTAGCTACATTTAGGCTAAGTTTATTGGCAATTAACCATTTTCTAAGGTTTTCCAAATCAGAGTTCACTGCAGTCTCAAGGTGAGGTATAGAATTTCCAGTAGCGGTTAGATTTGTGTCATCAGCAAACAACCGAGGTTTTGTATTATTTAGACATTGAGGCAAATCATTAATATATATATTAGAAAGAATAATGGACCAAGAATAGAGCCTTGTGGTACACCACATTTGATCGATTTTTATGATGAAATGGATACTTTTATTTGGCATTTCTGTTTTCGATTTGTGAGGTAAAATTTAAGAAAGGTCAAAGCTTTTCCTTTTATTCCATGAAGTTCCAACTTTCTTAACAGAATTTGATGATCAACAGTATCAAATGCTTTTTTCAGGTCAATTAAGACTACAAAGTTAAACATTTTTCTGTCTAAGTTCATAAACCAGTCATTAGTACAGTCGAGTAATGCTGTAGCCGTAGAGTGAAATTTTCGAAAAACAAACTGAGGATTACTCAGAAGTTCAAATTTTGTTAAATAATTGTATAGTTGATCGTACAGAATTCGTTCCATAACTTTACTTATAGCTGGCAAAACTGAAATTGGTCTGTAGTTTCCTGCTGCATTTTCTTGGCCATTTTTGTAGAGAGGTATTACTCTAGCCACTTTCCATTTATCAGGGAAAAAGGAGAGAGTAACTGCCTGATTAAAAATATATGTCAACGAATCTGAAATGGCAGGAGCTGCTATTTTAATAATTTTACAAGAAATTTTGTCAATTCCAGTTGCTTTATTGCCAGAAAGTCCATGCAAGAGACGGTAGACATTACTGACGGTAACCGGCTGGAAAGCAGTGAATTCTGATTTACAATTTTTAACATATTTTTCAAAGCTGTCATTCGAAGTATGAATATTGCTTGCTAAATCAGGGCCAATACTTGAAAAATAATCATTAAAGCACTCTGCAATATATTTTGGACTTGTTAAACTATTGTCACCCAGCTTTAGCTCATTCACCACTGTTGGTTTGCTTTGTCTACCTAATAGATTGTTTATGGTTTTCCAAGCATGTTTTGGATCACATTTTTGACCAGCAATTTTCGAGGAATAATAATCTTTTTTAGCATTTCTAAGCTCTATGTTCACTTTATTTCTTGTTGCTTTACAATTTTTCCAATCCTTTTCTAGGTTTGTGATAATGGCTTTCCTTTTTAATTTGTCCCTTGTAACTATAAGTTTCTTTATATCACTT